TGCCTTGCGCCTCAGCTGCTCCAGGTGTGTCTATACGGACTGTTGTGTCATCACTCCCATGAGACAAAGGACTGATACATCTCAGTGAAAGTTTAACAATTGGTTGGTATTTTTCAAGGCTAAATGGCATGTATTTGGGAACCCTAATTTAAAGTGTTACAAACTGGTTTTATATTCTGTTTCTCTCTGAGCAGTACCAGACACCAGTTTAATACTTAACTATATTTCTTCTTTAGTCCTTCTTCACCTAAACAATGTCTACCTCGCTATAATCCTCTCAACTCTTTGCCTCTAAACCTGACTCTGAAATAAGATTGGCCTTAATATGATTAATTAAGTTCTGTTTTCAGAAGCCAGATGACATTTTATTTCCTCATCTCAGTGCTCATGTTGTTTATGGTATAAAGTGTCTTAAATAGCCACCAACCTCTTGAGCAATAATGGGCTGTTAATCATTTAACAGATTGGGAAGGAAAGCTCCTCCTCATACTTAATCAGTGACTTGTTATACACCTGACTTTGGGGCATTGCTTTTGGAATTATTTATTCTGAACTGGTTCTCTTCATAGCTTGCTTATAGTGGTTCATGTACATTTTAAAACGTATACAGCTACTTCTCTTGAACTGTTTGTATGAGAGGCTCATGGGCTCCCAGGGGTGCTCTTGATACTTCTCCTAGGGGTTGGTTCTTCATGTAAGCTCAGCCAAGCGCAGAGTAGAGAGGGGAAGCTGTCAGAGAGCCAGTCATGGCCTCCTTATTCCCAGTTATGTGCATCCAGCTCAAGTGCAAGCTGTAGTGGGCAGCTGTAACTTACACCGCCGCTGGAGAATCAGACGTAGCAAAAGCCTTGTTCCACCCATTCCATTCCCCTGTGCCCACTGCCCTTCCTCCTCACCATACAGGGAGCGGAGGTTCTCGTAAAACCAGGTAATGAAGCCACAACAGCAGAGCAGCCTTTTCCAGCTTTACGCCCACAGATTCCCCCTATTTGTGGGTAATTTTCCAGTGGCAATCTCTGGCTGCTTTAGGTAAGCTGTGAAGAGTGAATCTGGCAGTCCAGAAAATCTGGCTCATAGAGTGGAGCCCTTTCCATGGTACTGAGGTTTGCTAGCACTGAAATGTTTGCCTGCTATAATAGCTGGCACCTGTATGTTATATCCTGCTTTAATGGGCCAAAACGCATACCTCGTGTAACTCCATTAAGGCTTTATAGAATCCATTTGACTTTAGTCCAGTCCACTCCGCTGGTGTCTCTCACTGCTTTTTAAAGGCTTGACGAGGGTAAATGGTTGCTTTTGGGGTTATTCTTACCAATCTTTGCTTGAGAGGCTATAGTGAAACTGCCTTTTCTTCCTCTCTGTGACATTCTGGCTGTGTGTGTCTGCCTGGCTCCTGCAACCTGACCAGTCCCTCGGAAGCCAAAACTGAAATGCTCCCAATACGTCAGGGACATGGTCAGCATCTGCCAGCCAAGTGACAGAGGCGTGCCAGGTTTCAGACATCTTTGGTGCCACGCTCCTGGCTGCCCTCCAGACACCGTGCTGTGTCAGTTAACCGCTCACACAGTGAAAGTGTTGTGAGCTTGCTGCTTGGGTTAACAGGAGCCCAGAGGAACAGTCTTAGGGAAGCAGGAGCTCATGGGGACAGCAAACTCCCCTTCCAAGCTCTGATTCAATTTTCTTTGAGCACTGCATAGATTTCAGAATGGCTAAACATTATGCACCTTGCCCAGCAGTTATTCCAGCATTGGAATCCTGTGTTTCACCTTTGAATCACTTACTTCTTAGGGACAGATTTTTACAGGTATTTAGGCACCAAAAGCGTCCAGGAGCCTAACACTCATTGAAATCAATGAGTTTTAAGCACCGAGGTGATTTTGAAAAATCCCCCTAGATGCTTAACTATCTTTAAAAATCTGTCCCTTAGTGACCAGGTATTAAATGCACCAGTGCTTATTAGTCACAGGGCTTGAGACTAACATTTGCTCTCTCAGTCTCATCTTTAATTGTGCAATAAGAAACTTGGCTTTGGGCTGAAGCATTTCCTGTAGATTTATCTACCATATGTGTTTTAAGGTACCTAGCACCTTGGTACTTGTGCACCAAATTGTAGGTGTCGTGGTCAGGGATCTTCCCAAACAGCCCCACTTTCTCTTACCGTGCATGAAATGAAAAAGCACAGTTAAATGTTCCTGGAAGCCAGGTATCGCTGGCCAGATGCCAGAACAATGTATGTTCTTATGGCAGATATAGCAGCTTGTTTGTGTTAGGTGCATTGTGTTCCGACAGTAAGCAGGATGTTCCCAACAGTGAAAGACTCCAGGATAGCGCCGTCATCTGTACTATCAAAAGTCCCATACACTATACGAACCATTTTAGCAACCCGAGTGCAGGACATAGCCAGGGCTCCTCGTTCAGTACATACCTGTTACTGTAGTTGTTGGGCATGTCTGTGAGCTCCCTCTGTGTTCTCCTCCAGTTTCTATTTATAGCCTGAAAGCCATAATCCATCCAGCTCTTCTCTTCTAATTTTGCTTGTGTAAAAGCTACAGTAGGGCTGCTGGCTAGTCACAAAGGAGCATGTGCAATAGAGAGAGACATTTGTTGCCAGACAGCTTCATTTGTACAATTATTTTAAAATGGCAGAGTTTAAAAAAACAACAACCGTATTCTTGAATGCAGTGAATTTAAATGTGAAGTCCTGAATGTCTGTTAATATCATGCTGGACATGAATGGAAAAGACGATTTGTTATGTAGAGAAGGAAGCTGCATGAAAATTATTCTGTATTTCAGTGTCTAAAGTATGTAATATATGAAAGGATAAATCTGAAAATTGTTTGGTATTATTGTTATTGTTGAATCGTCTTTACACACACTCACACACTATTTATTTCCCTACTGTTTGGGAGATCTTTGCTAGTAGACAGTATAAGCGACATTTACATTTATACACTAGTACGCAGGCACTGGGGCAAAATCATAATCTTCCAAAAGTGCCAACAGAGCTTTCATTTTATTTATTTGTTCTTTGGATTGCAGCAGTGCCTCTGAGCCCTGGTGAATGATCTAGCTACTGTACTAGGCACCACATGGACGTAACATGCAGCATGGACTTGACCTTAGGTTTTAAAAATCACACCAGAAACACAGACACCTAACTAAACTGCATGAAATTCAAAGTATCTACTTCAGAAAGCTGAAGGGCTGAACTGCTGATGGGAATGCAAGCTGTGGTGCTAGGGAGTTGAGGTGTTTCAAACCTGAGAGCTGAAAGAACAGACAAAAAGACACGGAAACGGGGGGGGGCACCACTGAGTTTAACAATCGTTCACTTCAGCATGCAACAGAAAGTGAGATCTGAAAGTAGCTGGGGGTCCATAAAGTGCTGCTAAAGAGAGATCTGGGCTCATGGGAGAGGAAGGGGCTGTAGGGAGGAGGCTCCAAAATGTCCAGTAACCTTACTACAGTGTAGCAAAAATAATTTTAAATAGATGTGTTAAAACTAAAGGAGTAAAGAAAAATCAGAGTTTCTAACTACTGTCCCCCCTGATTTCTTCTATCTGACTATGTAGTTGAAAGATTACTTGGCACACGCAAGCAGCATAGCTGTATAGTAGCACACAAACATACCTCGCTACATTATATATGTGCACAACCACACCACAGACAAGTGTGACTTCATGATTTCAGCTACAGAAAGTGCAAATGAACATGGCACACATTAAATGGATTAAAAACGGGCTAACTGACAGGTCTCAAAAGGTACCCCTAAATGGAGAATTGTCATCCAGCGGGGTCCATAGCAATTGGTTCTTGACCCTACACTATTTAACATCTTTATCAATGACCTTGAAGAACACACAAAATAATCACTGATAAAGTTTGCAGATGACACAAAAATTGGGGGAGTGGTAAATAATGAAGAGGACAGGCCCCTGATTCAGAGAAATCTGGGTTTCTTGGTAAACTGAACACAAGCAAACAACGTGTTTTAATATGGCTAAATATAAATGTATACATCTAGGAACAAAGACCACAGGCCATACTTACAGGATGGGCGACCCTATCCTGGGAAGTGGTGACTCTGAAAAAGATTTGAGGGTTGTGGTGGGTAATCAGCTGAACATGAGCTCCAGCGTGCCACTGTGGCCACAAGAGCTAATGCCATCCTACGATGCATAAACGGGGAATCTCAAATATGAATAAAGAGGTTATTTTACCTGTGGATTTGGCACTGGTGTGACCACTCCTAGACTACTGTGTCCAGTTCTGATGCCCACAATTCAAGAAGATATTGATAAATTGGAGAGGGTTCAGAGAAGAGCCACGAGAATCATGAAAGGATTAGAAAACCTGCTTTATAGTGAGACTCAAGGAGCTCAATCTATTTAGCCAAACAAAGAGAAGGCTAAGGGATGACTTGATTACAGTCTGTAAGTACCTACATGGGGAATACATATTTAATAATGGGCTTTTCAAGAAAACGTACATGATCCAAAGCCTGGAAGTTGGACTAGACAAATTCAGACTGGAAATAAGGTGTAAATTTTTAACAGAGAGTAATTAACCACTGGAACAATTGACCACGGGTCACAGTCAATTCTCCATCACACTGGCAATTTTTAAGTCAAGACTGGATGTTTTTCTAAAAGATCTGCTTTGGGAATTATTTTGGGGAAGTTCTACACTCTGTGTTATACAGGAGGTCAGACCAGATGATCACAATGCTCCCTTTCTGGCTTTCATTGACCAAAAATATACTTTGACGTATCTTATTGCTGCTTAGCTGCACATTTATAACCTGTGGTTACAATGCTGAATTCGCACTACTTACAAGACCTGCCTAACATTACTAGAAGATGAAGCTTTCCGTGCAGCATTTACAAAAAACTCCAGATTGGGAATGATCATATGTTCATTTAATTTCCTGTATGTAATTACCATCTCCCTTAGTGCACATGTTGCAGAAAAACACACACATCTAACTTCAAAGCGTTTTCTGAATTTCACTAGAAAGCAGTTGCCTTTAGAGCAATCAAGCAGAGGCAGACAGAAATTGTTAAATGGTTACATTTTACTCAGAGCATTTAACAGGCTGGTTAACTGATAATCAATTAAAAGAACTCAATAAACTAAAAATGTAAGTTACATATGTAGATCAATATTAATACACTGTATGCCCATTGCCCAAGCCTTTGGACACACGTACATCTTAAAAAACTTAACTATCAAAGATTCATAACTTGGTTTAATGCCTACAAATAAATGGCAGCAACAATCATTCCAAATCAATTTCCAACAACCACAGTAGAGAGCAGCAGTTACAAATAGCATCAGCAACTATCTCTCCTTTAGACACAACTCCCAACGCATCTACACACACCTCTGACAAATACTAAACTGATCAGTTGAGCTTCTACCGCAGTAGTTCTCAACCAAGAGTACATGTACTCCTGGGGGTACGCAGAAGTCTTTCAGGGGTATGTCAGCTCATCTAGATATTTGCCTAATTTTACAACAGGCTACACAAAAAGCACTAGCGAAGTCAGTACAAACTAAAATTTCATACAGACAATGACTTGTTTATACTGCTCTCTACACTACATCAGTGTTTCTCGACCTAGGGGTGGTGACTCCTGGGGGTATGTGTCACGGGAAGGGTTTGGGGAGGGGGTTGCAAGTGTAGGGCTGGCATTAGGGGATGGCAAGCAGGGGCCCTCATGAAGCTAAGGTACATGCTGAAGCCCAAGCCCCATTGCCTGGAGCTCATGCCGAAGTCCAAGCCCTGCCCAGAGCTGAAATCAGACTCCTGAAAGGGGTACAGTAGTATGGAGAGGTTGAGAGCCACTGTTCTATCATATCCTGAAAAACAAAATCTGGCTCTGATGAACCAAGTGCAGCAGCTTCGCCTCTGAACACACGCTGCTAACAGAAATACTGAGTTCTAATCTTGGCTCTCCTAACATGAGCAGTTTACCTAATTTGAACTGTTACTGAAGGTTACTTAAGGAGAGGCCCTATCTAGAATTACAGACAAAAATAAAGACATTAAGATATTCTGTTTCATCACCATCTATCATACAGAGTGTCTCTACATGCTTAAAGGTTGAATTTTTCTTTCAGACAGAGAACTCTAGTCTTTTTAAACTAGTGGCTAACCCTTCAAAAGGCGGTGTGCGCACATACCTAGGTCATTTCCCATATCTGAATCAAGACTTCATCCTAACAGTTAGTTACATAGATCACAAAGAAGCCCTTGAGAACCTTTCCAGGGCAGGTGAGAATATGGCTTACCAAAAAGTGTTTTAAAATTATAAAAGTTTTGAAACATTCTTGATGGGCTAATTTGCATTTAGAGCCACATAATGCTTAGAGCAGAGCTTTCTTAGGTACTTTACAGGAGAATTTTATGTGCTGCCCATTTCCATACGACCGTTGGAAAAAATAAAAAATGTAAATTGTAAACACTCAAATTATTCAAATAATAGTAATACAATATTTAAAATTATTAATAATGGCTGCACTTAGGGTTTTCCCTCGTTATAAGCATGTCCTCTTGTGAATTTTTGCCGCAGTTGCTCATGTTTACTTCACAGTCTTCTCCCTCCTCAGAAAAAGGCACCCGTGTAGCCCTGAGTTCTTCAGGGTGCAGCTGTGAGCATATACTACATTCTTTTCAAAGCTGAGGAATATTTTCCCTTCTCCCGCATCCATTGCACTCAGCCTACCAATATTTTTAGCTGGAAGGTGTTGCTTGATTACTCAAGGCAATAAAATCTCAGCCAGAACAAAAGTCTTGTGAAATAAGCTATCAGACTCTCAGCCAGTCCATTCTAGTTTATACCAGTCCCTGGATAGTGGCTTTCATCAGTGCCCTTTTATTGCCCTTTACCCAGCTCCTTCAGCTGCATATCATTTGTCAGCATTCTTTATACATCTTCTTCCCAAATGACCTGGACTGAATGCAAACGGATCATGACCCATCAACATTATGGGCAGTTTCATCAGTAACCACCATGATAATAACAAACTGCATAACAAGAACTCCATGAAAAGGCAAAAAGGGTGTGAACAAGACAGTGAGTGAGAGAAGGCACTCATGCTTTGAAAAATTATCTAAACCCCCTCTCTGTATAAAGTGTGATTGTTCCCACAAAACCTAAAGGAACCATCAAGAGAGATTTGATCTGCAAGCTGAGATGGCCACCAAGCTGGTATACTTTTCTCTTTTTTCTCCGAACAGTATTAATGCACTACTTTTCCCCTTCCTTTTGCTGTTCTAAAGCCGTGTTGCAGAAACTCAGTAACGGGGGGAAATCAATCCAGTTCTTATCTGAACTCAAATATGGTTTAAAACAGTGGTATAGGAGGTCATATCCGAGAGATCAAATATCTCAATGTTTGGTTTAGCAGATAATTTAAAAAAATGAAATAGTGAAAAATGGATTTGAGACCTCTTTCATTTAAAGCAATGAGTTGTGACAGATGAACACCAGCCAAAGGGGTTCAGAGAAGGGCAACAAAAGGACTAAGGAGCCAGAGGGATTGACTTAGGGGGAAATGATTAAAAGAGCTAAGAGAGTTTGGGTGAGTGATGGCATGGGTGGAGACACATGACAATTATTTGTAATTACCTGAAAGTTGTAAACACCAAGAGATGGAAAGGAGTTGTTTTTGTTTAGAGCAGTATCAGAGGGTAAAACTAGAAATAATAACATAAAAAATAGAAAAAAGATATTTATGATGAATATGAAGAAAAATCTTCCTGAAAGTGAGATCGGTAAGACTGGAATGGTCACCCAAGAAAGGGGGTGGAAGCCCCTCCTTCTGCAGGTGTTTTAAAATAGACTGGGCAAAGTACTAGAAATTCTGCTATAGGCAGGATATTAATACAAATATAATTAAAACAGGCCGTTCTGAGCTTCCTGCTGTTGGACTATATAAATAATATTGGGTGTGGGAGGGAGGTGTAGGAGCCAGAACAGCCACCTGACACCACTGAAGGATTCCTCTGTGCAGCAGCAAAGAGGTCCTACCATGGCTGAGAATCCGTGCCTGCAACTTTTTAAAGAGCTCTGTAAAGCATCACACCGCGCTACGTTGCCACATACAGTTTTAATTAAATAAATAGTAGCAATAATAATTACAGTTCATAATGTACCACCTTTCCTTTCGCTTTTCTGTACACCCTTCTCTTTACACTGGAGTCTATACAACGAGTGCAGCAAAGCAGGGGAAAAGGTCAAAACGTGCACAGTGTATTTAGGAACATGCGGACTGACTGGAAAACTAACCTCGAGGTTCCTGTTGCTGCTGCCTGTGACAGGCACTGCTTTCTGTACGACAGGTTCTTTAAAAAGTGTTACTGAAGATGAAAGAGAACGACATCATCAAATCAATGGAATACAGCTATAATTGCATGAAGACTTTGGGGTCAGGTCTGAGCAAGATTCAAAGCCCGCTGCATTCTGCGTCTCTGTTGAAATCTGTGATTTGAAATGGAATGAAGCAGTAGTAGTCTGCTGTAGGAAATATGAAATGAAAAGGCCATCTGGGTGAGGAACAAATGTCCCAAGGGAACATGCTTACAAAATATTTACCCAAGCCTGGAGCTATTGTCAGATAGACATCTACAAACTGAGGCTCAGCATTGCTCCTAAATATCTTATAGCATAACCCTCATATCTCTTTCCATCACTACCCCCTACACTACCCTACTACAAAACAAAAACACCATAGCCAGGTCCATCTATTTCAAATGGAAAATGTACCAACAAATCACAAGGCTCGCTGTGTGCTGGAGAATGTGCTCCCCAGAAGCTGCCTAGGGTGATCACCATAACAACATCCACTGCCGTAGCTATCAGAACATTTGTAGGATATTCAGCATTGGACTGAGGTAATGAGATGTGAGGCTTATTTCATTTTTTTCTTCTACTAAAATATAGGAACATGTTAACACAAGCCACTTGTAAAAAGCAATTTAGCAACTGCTTTTAATACATATTTTCAGAGTATCCCAGGCAGCTAGACTGTGGCAGGCTGAATCAGCTGACATGGAAACAGAAATATGATACTTTACATTCCTCAAGGAGTTTGTATCAATAACCACAAGCTTTCTAGCAAAGGAGTTTGGGGATGAAGAATGTGCAATGGGCAGTTCAATAAAGAAAATCAAAATCCTTACTGGGATATATGTAGTATATATGCGACTTTTGTAAATCTGATTTTTGCCTGTTGTTAGAGGGGACAAGGAATTCCTTGAAATTCCCACGTGCATCAAAGTGTGTTTAAAAAAATACACAGAGACACATCCACACACTCACACCAACACACAGCCAAAGATGGACCTGCATGTATGCACTCACATTAACACATGTTTCTTCAATGAAGAATTTTCCTTGCTGGGACCTGTACCAAGGAACCACCACTATAGGTGTTTGAGGTCCACAAATAACTGTTGCAACAATGTACATACAGTTACAACAAGCACACCAACAGTCATCTGTGTCGGACTCAGTACAAAGGGTGAACTAACCTCCTGATTGGGTGCTGAAGGGAGGACTCTGTCCCGAGTGGAACACAAACATCCTTGGATCAGAAAGCAGCAGATAACTGCTTGAGTGCTGCCTTTAACACTAGCAGTAATAACACTAATATTCTCTTTTGGGCCTTCAGCTACTAGAAGATGAAACTATATTGCCATATTTACATACACATATTGTCACGGACTATTGAAATTCAGGTTCTCTCACCTCACTGTTTTTATTTCAGTTAAATTCTGGAAGCAGAAGCCCTCTACCCCATTCTCATGGCTGTCAGTGCAAACTCAGCACTAATCCAGCTGGTCATGTTGCCATTTTCCCCTGATTCTCCATGCCACCTCCTTGTAGACAGAAAGGACAATGAGAGCTGTATCAAAGGTAAGAAAATATGCCCTTAAGACACATATCTTTTGCAGAACTAGTAGAAGGATTGTAACAAATCCATGTGCTGCAGATAACGGGTACAATTACCAGAAAACTCACACAAGCACATACAGAAACTCCAGCTCCACCAACATGGGCCTTTACCACTTGAACTAAAGAAGATCTCTTCGACAGTGATATTAGTGTTTCCCTTATCCTCTGCCAGCCACTAGAGAATAACATGAGATCACACATACATGCAGAGTACAGCAGGACCTTCTTGCTAGCTCTTCCCCTGAAGGTATACTCCTCCCCATAGCAGCCAGGGACAGGGAGTTGCTGCTGTTTAGTTCCCAGCACTTCCTCTCATGCCCTATCAAAGTTACTCATCATGAGTATTCTTCCTCTTCACTAACGCTTTAAATGCCAGCATTAATTCAAAACAGTTATTTTGCAGCCTTTAAAGTGCTATTATCACTTTTCAAGTATTGAAAGATGGAAGGCTTTTCAGGCAGCTCATTTGAATGGAAGAGTAGTTTTCCCCTGGAGTTCTCTGTTTTGGGGTCTATGCAGGGCAGAGTCAGGGAAGCGGGTGTAAGATGGCTGATTCCTCTTTAACAGAAGAGGGCACAGAACAGATTTGCTGATAATACGCAGCCTCAGGTTTGTTTTTCACTGAAATACAAAAAGCAGGAGGAGAAGAGAAGGTTTAAACCCCCAAAATGAGCAGTTGAACCAGCCTATTGCATACTGTACTACTGCACATCCACAGGTCGACAGGGGATAGCGTAGACACTGTGTTGTGTAATTCGAATAAATTGGCCTCCAGGAGGTGTCCCACAGTGCTCCGCTGTGACCGCTCTGGAGAGCACTTTCAACTCCACTGCATGTCAGCCAGGTACACAGGAAACAGCTGCTCCCCGTTAAAGCCCCAGGAACTTTTGAATTTTCATTTCCTGTTTGATCAGCGTGGAGATCTCGCCAGCACAGCTGATCATGGAGACTCAAGGCCACAAATGAAGTAGATTTTCAAAGATATTTAGGCACCTGAAGATGCAGTTAGTTGCGTAGTGGAATTTTCAAAAGCAACTACGTGCCTAACTCCTTTTAAAATCTGGCTCCAGGTGCCTACCTGCATCTTTAAATGCCTTTGTAAATCTGTCCTCAAGTCTATGCATTTTGGACCCACTCCTGTGAAGTGCTAAACGTCCTCATCGCCCTTTGACTTCAATGGGAATTGAGGACACTCAACACTTCTTAGGATAGGGCTCCTGGAATGCAGTGAAATCATCTGTCTGAAGAGTCTCCTTCAGTCTGCATTGCATTTCCTGGTATGATACAGCAGTTTTACACAGACTAAGATCCTCTTATGTGTCTCCATACAGCATGCAATGTGACTTACCTGATCCCAGCTATTCATTCAGTCTGCCTGCCTTTTCATCTACTTCCCTTCTCTATGTGAATTTGATCAGCAAGTGGAGAAATGCTCTCTGTAATATTAACACAACCACCAGCTAGAATGGATTTTGGAGCATAGGTTAAGTGACTGCTCAAAAACCTGAATCAATGCCATGCAAGAGGGAGAAACTATGCAATTTCCACAAATATCTTTTGCTTGATCAAATGGGTTATACATGCATACAAGATATAGTGACAACTTATAAAATGTAAATACTACATGGCAGGGGAGGGATAGTGATCACAGCATCAGATTTGGAATAATTATACTTACTGGAACCATTGGTTTAAATCTTAGCAGGATAAACTCAGCCCTTCATTCTTCTTAGGAAGATAAACTGAGTATCATGATGAAGTCCTAAAAACCAAATTCCTGTCTTTGCTGCATAGACATTAAATATATCTCAGCACTCTTTGCAAGAATAAGGGTTTGCCCCAATTTCTTGGCTAGTATTTCCCCTACCTCTGCCATTGTGCAATGTGTGTGCGCACCAGTTATCCTTCTAGATATCATCTTCCACTCTAGAGATTGCTGCCTGCTGGTATTTCCAGCACAGTACAGAATATAAAGGAAGACAAAGGCCTTGCCATAAGGAGTTTACAACCAAAATAAATAGTTTAGATTGAATACAGTGTCTGGGCAGATGTAGGTCAATGTTTTTAAAAATAACATTTCTTTCTGGGCTTTCATACTGAAGACAGAGATCATCCAGTCTATAAGGAGAGGGAAGAAGTTCAGAGCGTAAGGGGAAGTGTGGGAGAAGATACGAGTGAGACATTTAGATGAAGTTTGGGAGGAGCACACACAACATGAAGAAGAGGACGAGGAAATGAAAGCAAAGATGAAGGAAGCTGTGCAGGGTCTTAAAAGTGAGGTAAAAAGTTTGAAGGCTGAAAAAACTGTTTAAACATTTCATCAGCCTTAAAATGAATGAGTTACTATCAGAGCAACGTCTCATATATCAGAGAATCAGAGTATGTTACAATAACCGAAACACCGTTTAGCTTTGATGTCTGAACTGGCTGCCTGCTTCCCATCCCAGGTCCACAAGACCCCTCCTGATATAGGGGGAGGAAAAATCTCTCTGTGTTTTGGACTGGGCTTGACATATCTGTTTCTTGAAATATTTAATCCAATAGGACTAAACCCTGTCCAATGACTAAAAACAACATAATTCACTGAAAACGTAGAAAGTAAAAATTTAACTTCAGTCCCATGATCCCAGCTCCTCATTACTTAAGTAACATGCCTGGGTGAAAAAGCTTAGAAAGCAGATCACACATCTGACAGGGTCCTGCCAGTGATTCCAAACAGCCGAGCTTTCAATAGGAAATGGCCAGCTACCTGTCAGACCTGGTGAGTTCCCTGTTTTTTTTTTTTATCACATCAGAAATTAATAATAGGAAGGATCTGTCTTCCACTTCCTACCCACCACTGCCAATGCCGGAGAAGGTACTGTACATTTTCATTAAACAATCTTTAAAACAGTGTGATATAGTTATAAAGACTACAACAAGGGGATACAGAATGGTCTATTTGGCAGTGATTCCGATGGACAGAGGGAAAAAAAACAATTTTGGGGGCAATACCCCTTTAACAAAGGTAAGGAGGCACTACTGGTAAAGGAGGATTACCTCGAGGTGCTGGGACAGTTGGAAGCACAGCAAGGGAGGAAGAAGAAATACAGCAGAACGGGTTTGTGGGGAGACACTTGTGCCTTTGCTTCCGCTCTGAGGGGCTCAGGAGGAGGCAATATTGCCTAAAAATATACAAGTATAAATGAGAGAAAGCTGTTTGCAGGCCTGCGAGGTGATGTGGGAAAGCAGGAAAAACCAAGCCCCATGAACAGTACAGAGATTTGAACTGGTGTGTGAAAATCCATCTCAAAATGCATTAGCACCTGTATGAGGACATTCTTCCTCCTCATTGAGAGAGGGGGACTTCCCCAATAATAAATAATAATAAAATAATAAGATAGACACAAAAAACCCATCACATTTATTATAGAGTCTCATTATTTTCATAACAATCTCATGGGGTTTTTTAAAGCTCTGTTTTGTAAACTTTTGAAGTCCCATGATTAGCAATGCTGACATAATAAGGGTTATAGAATCATAGAACCATAGGGTTAGAAGAGACCACAAGGGTCATCTAGTCTAACCCTCTGCCAAGATCCAGGATTTGTTGTGTCTAAACCATCCATGACAGATGGCTCCAGCCTCCTTTTGAAAACCTTCCGTGAAGAAGCTTCCACAACCTCCCTAGGCAGTCCGTTCCATTGTCCTACTGTTCTTACAGCTAGGAAGTTTTTCCTGAGATTTAATCTAAATCTGCTATGCTGTAGTTTGAACCCATTGCCTCTTGTCCTGTTCTCTGTGGCAAGAGAGAACAACTTTTCTCCAGCTTTTTTATGGC